ATATGCCAGGGGTTATTCAGATTTTTTTTCTTTTAACCACAATATGGGCTCACTCAGATTATGGTAATCACAACATTTACTTGACTTATACATAATCGGAATAAGACCAAATATGACCCAAGTTTCACATGACAAGATAAAAGTTGCTGTTGTTATTTTAACAACTAACTCTAATGAACTAAAATGTAGATTTTACAGATGCGTCATTTGAAGTCTAAGAACCGTAAACAATTATATAGCCTTATATAGCTTCACACGCACTGTGCTGTGTAACTATAGATACTAAACATGATCTTTGTGAGTGTCAGATTTTGTGTAATGAGGAAAAAATATGACATTCATCACGGTGTGCAGTTCTAGTCATTAGAGCAGAAATTATCATCACACATTACAGAAGCCAGTCTCGAGGGCCAGTTGTTCAGGGCTTAACAAATAAGCTTTATACCTCACTCCCATATGAATTAGCTCAAACCTGTCTCCCTCATGGCCATGATTTCCAGTCGTTAACGTAAATCTCGAAAAAAACAAAGAAAGGGAATAAATTACACATGCATCAGGAACTACAGTTAAGAAAGCAGCGTTCCTCGTTAATATGCATCCTAGTCTGGTGGAAGGGAGAGGAGAGGCTTGTTTAATTGAAATAATGAATTGTCTGGTTGTGTTTGGTTTGATCAGATGGTGGCTGGGCTGTTTTCTTTTCTTTTTTTTCTTTTTTTAATCAGACTATTCCCTCCCTAATCCAGCTCAGGCACTAATGTTGAACAATGCTCCAATAAGATATAGAACATCTCATTTTGCCCGCTGTCATGTTGATTTATTCTCATGTCTGTAGTCATGATACATCGCCTTCCCTGCCTCCACAAAACTGTCTGCATATGGTTGCATCTGTCAGAAAGCCTTTGAGTTTTTCGAGTACAAAATATCAGCCCACAGGTTCTGCTATTCCCGACTGAGGCTGAAAAACATCAGGCTATCACCGACAAGCACACCGATGGATGAAAAGCCGCGTCAAAGTCATGCAATGATGCATTTCAACAGTGAGCTATTAATCTGCGTTTCGGTCCAAAAATGTGGTTGTGATTTTACCTCTTATTTGACATCGTCATTAGTTCAAAACACTAGCACATGCATAAATCTGTTAGATGTTGAAATAATGTTTTTTCTTTTCTCATTTTGTTTGAATTTCGTTCAGAGCCCTTTTCTCATGCAGTTTAATCAGTGGATTAACAGATGGTGTTGCAACCTGTAGTATATTTTATGTATCTGTCAGGAAACGACTCTGAATGTCACATCTTATATTATGTAAATGCATTCATTCTGACTCTCTAGGCAATGCCAAGTTACATCTCCAGGATTAGAAGCTTATCGTGTTACTGACCTCACATTTTAAAGTCATTTAAATTTACCAGTTAATGTATGATATATGAAATAAAAGCAAATGCTTATGCAATATATGTTGTCTGCGATTGGCTTGCATATTTTAGTAATATTATAGTTCAAAAGATTTTTTATATTAATTATCATCATCACAAGTTTGTCAGCCGTTTTCCCAACTTTTCTGCAATAAAAATAATTACGCGTCAAGTTATATCAAATACATGTACTTCGTGTACATGCACATTTAACCCTTATGCTGTGCTAAAAATCCAGGTTAAAAAAGCCCAACCTTTTACAAATCTCCCATTATGCTATATAATCACCAAATATTGGATTCAATCTTTGCAACTTGTTTTATTTAAATTAGCACAGGTTTTGTATTTCTTTTTTTAAATGGATTGGTCATAGGCCTCATTGATCTGAACTTATTCACCTTAGTTTGCAAGTGTTAAAAGTATTATTTGTGGATCATTTTGGCAATGTTTACTCAAAAACTGCATAAGCTCAGGTCAGCAGTGTTGCCAAGTCAGCGGTTTTCACCATCTGAATCTAAGATTTGGTAATAATATAACATCATGAGAAATTTATAAGCAATTTTTGTAGGACAGTCATTTTTGATGTTACGGGGGGGGGGGGGGGGGGGGATTATCATCATCACAAGTTTGTCAGCCGTTTTCCCAACTTTTCTGCAATAAAAATAATTACGCGTCAAGTTATATCAAATACATGTACTTCGTGTACATGCACATTTAACCCTTATGCTGTGCTAAAAATCCAGGTTAAAAAAGCCCAACCTTTTACAAATCTCCCATTATGCTATATAATCACCAAATATTGGATTCAATCTTTGCAACTTGTTTTATTTAAATTAGCACAGGTTTTGTATTTCTTTTTTTAAATGGATTGGTCATAGGCCTCATTGATCTGAACTTATTCACCTTAGTTTGCAAGTGTTAAAAGTATTATTTGTGGATCATTTTGGCAATGTTTACTCAAAAACTGCATAAGCTCAGGTCAGCAGGGGGTGCAAATATTAAGCTGTTATACCCTGTGTAAGCAAAGTCAGTAACTCAATATATACCATAAATACAGTAAATCCACAGAATTCAGCTACTGTAAATGCAATTTATGAAGAGTGTATGTTGCAAAAACAACACACAGAATACGGTAACAGACAAGACCTGGATCAGCAGGCAGTAGTTAGTGAAAGTGAGTAATTACATTTGAACGGCAGATGGGATGTGATTGTATCTAATGAAGTGCAGGTGTTTGAGGGTAGCCTGTGAAACCTGATGGTTATTTGATAGCCGCATTGCATGGAAATGGAGACGTTTGTGTCTGATGGCCACTGTTTCTGATGCTGAGAAGATGGATATTGCTGTGTTGGTTGTTTGCTTCCCAAGTGATATCAATAAAATACACTACACAGCTCTAGTAAACCACATCTGGCAAAGCTTTGATGGTGAATTTGACAAAAATCCCTTCTTTATTGCCTTCAGCTCTGCAGGTATTGCTTTCTGCGGGCAGAGACTGTCTCATAGCAGGAGACACCTGTTCCAGTGATGAGACCTGCAGCCCGCGTCTCCGGACCCTGCGCCAGTGCGTCGCCGGTAACGGCAGCATGAAACTCGGCCCTGGAGCCCGCAGTCAGTGCGCAAATGCCGTCTCTGCCCTGCTGTCCAGCCCTCTGCACGGCTGCCAATGCAGACGAGGCATGAAGAGAGAGAAAAACTGTCTCAGCATATACTGGAGTCTCCACCAGTCTGGCATGCATGGCGAGTAACATGATAATATATTACTATACGTCTCTATAAAAAGATATATACAGATATACTATAAATAGACGTCTCTTCTGCTCACCAAGGCTGCATTTATTTGATTAAAAAAACAGTAAAAACAGTAATATTCTGAAATATTTTTACTATTTAAAATTGCTGTTTTCTATTTTAATATATTTTAAACTGTAATGTATTTCTGTGATGCGCAGCTGTATTTTCAGCATCATTACTCCAGTCTTCAGTGTCACATGATCTTCAGAAATCATTCTGATATGCTGATTCGCTGAACATTTCTGATTATTATCAGTGTTGAAAGTGGAAACGGTGACACATTTATTTATTTATTTTTATTCAGGATTCTTTGAAGTGTAGAAAGTTCAAAAGAACAGCGTTCATTTGAAATAGCTATATATATATATATGTATATCACAAAACTTCCTTTTATTGAAACAAAGCTGTAAAAACATGTAATTCAGAAATTCTCATGGCATTGACGTCACAAGCATGAAGACATTAACATATGATTTATGGCTGCCCACAAACTCATATTCGGCATTCAGTAACTTGACCTGCTCTCATGAAGAGTGAACTGTGCTGTTATGCAGCTGTAATGCAGTCCAAAGGTGTCAACGACAGGATGGAAAAACGTTCATGTAACAGCGTGTCCTATAGCCAGGCGCAACGCAGTAAAGCGTTAAATGTTAAAGTCTCTTTCAAATTTAATCGAAGTTGATGTCCTAACCAACCGCAGCAGGACATTTTGCCGGTTGCTTGGTTTTCTTGATGCGTTTCTTGCCACGTCTGGCTCGCAGTGAAATCTCTCTGCTCTGTAGATGGAAAAATATAAGCCCATTTCACACTTTTAAGGGCCCTTTATAAAATCAGACACCGGCAAAACATCTGTAACTAAATATTTGAAATGTACATGTTGCTTACAGAAAGTTTTAGTTTTGTCAGAAAACTAGGTACTTTTGAATGGGTGTCAAAGCAGTGGTATAATGTGAGCAGTGCTAGATAGTAACTGATTACATGTAATCTGGATTATGTAATCAGATTCCAAAAATTAAGATTATATTACATTTTAAAATACCCATAATCAGACTACAGTACTTGTTACTTTTTTATTGGTTACATGATTTTATATCAAAGTTACATTAAATTACAAACACTTTAAAATGCACAAATTCACATTATTTCTAATTTACATGTAACAGGGATTCCCCAATTTTTTTTTGTCAACGCAACCTCTTTCACCTAATATATTTACTTAAAATATTTTTAAAATAAAATATTTAATATTTTTTAGTAAGTGTTTATTTTAATGATAGCATTTTTTAAATGTAATTTAAAATTTTCATGGTTTAATTTATTAGATTTTAATTAATTAAAAAAATTAATTCTTTAACAAAACTCTAGTTTGGGAAACCTTGTCGTAATGTAATGTTTAATGCACTTCATGTTATTAATAACAGCAAATTGAATATATTTTCTTTCTCTTTAAATTTTTATATAAATATGGTACAATATTATATTTAAATCAATGTGATAAATGAGTTTGGTCAAAAGTAATCTAAAAGTAATCAAAAAGTAGTCCAATTACATTACCTAAAATGTGTAATGTAATGAATTATGTTACTGACTAGAATTTTTGTCATGTAATTTCGAATCAGTATCGGACTACAATTTGTAAGTATTTACTGTCTTCACATTTTACAGTTATATGTTTTACAGTATTTGACAGTTTTTGTAAAAAAACACCTTTAGTATCGCACGACTCCATGTGGTCCCTTAAAATATGTTGTTCTGTATAAAACATTTCATATACGATGCAATTTCTGAAACAAGATGTTTGTTCTCGCAGGGCTTAACCTGGTAGAGAACTATCCATACGAAGCGATAGAGAAAGGCTATGACTTTGTCCGTCTGGCCTCCATCACTGCAGGTAAGATGATCCATTTCATACAATATGGTGACCTACGACCTTTCAAAATAATGATAAACAAAGACACAATCAAATATGAAAATGCTTTTTAATTAATAAAGTTTCTTGTAAGAATGTGTTGACACATGTAAAGGAAGAAAATGAATGTAATTGCAGTCAATGTGTCTTTATCTAGAGCCTCTTTGTATTGTGACTGACTAGTCTTTATTTAAAGGGGTCATATGATGTGATTTAAATTGTTCCTTTCTCTTTGGAGTGTTACAAGCTCTTGGTGCATAAAGAAGAGCTGTAAAGTTGCAAAGACTAAAGTCTCAAATCCAAAGAGATATTCTTTATAAAAGTTAAGAGTCAACCACACCTACCTAAAACACCTCGTTCTAACACGCCCCCACATGTCTACCTCACTTCACGCAAAGAAAGAAGGTGTAACTTTTATTCTCGCTGTAGTATTGTTGCTGCCGCCATGTCGTGAAGACGCTGTGTGTTTCGTTGTGAAAGCGAAACTACTTTGTTTGGTCTTCTAAAAGAGGACACGACTAGAAATCAGTGGTTAAGTTTACAACATCTGACATCTTATTAGCATCGCAAATGTGTAAATGTGTCTCCAGTGTGGGAGAGTCTCAGTCGCTGTGTATTAGCTTTGCTCTGGAACTTGTTTTCACTGCCATCTCCTTTAGTTCTACGCTTGTTTTTGTTCGGCTGTCCCATGGAAATTAGTCATAGATTCTCAGTTTGTTTGTTGAAACTTTGTGTCTGGACTGGATTTTCATCAGCTCTGTAAGAATCAACAAAGCTCTTAGGTGAATGATTAATCTTAATGAAATAGGGAGAGAGATTTTGATGCTGCTTTTTCATTTTCCTCAGGTTTTTCTGACCTTAGCCTTAGTTATTTACTGTGCTTTTGTATTACCATCACGATGCAGGCCATTCAGTTTGATGATGTTGATCGGAATGCTAAAATTATTTCTTTGGAAGATGTTTCCACAGCATTCGGTTTCATTTGTTCCATCTCATTTTCATTCCTGACTTCCTTTCACATCATGAGGCATTTCCTTTGGTGTTAATGATTTGTGACTCAAACTAGTCTTCCCGTGTGAGTTATCTGAACCTCCAGTCACATTACTCCCGCATTGCTCTTTCCACATGTGCAAAGGTGACCAAATCATCCCAACAATAATAAAAAATAACGATTGCAAGAAAAAAAAAGATTGCAAGAAACAAAAAAGATCTTGTTGTAACATGACAAGCATTACATCAAAAAGCTTTCAAAATCAAGACATATCATCAAAGTAGAAATGTTTAGAGAAAAAGTCTTAGTATTACCAGTCATAATGACAAATATGAGAATAAATGCATTGCATCCTAACACTACTTTATTGTCGTAATTTAGACTCTTTCAAAACATTTTAAAACATTTTATTCTCAAAACTTACTGTTACAAATTAATTCTCAAAATCATATTTTGTCTTTTCATTTATTGAAATAAAGCTGAAATAAGATATACATATTAGATGAACTAACTGAAATAAGTTGATGTTGAAATGCTTAAATTACTAAAAATAAAATAAGTTAAAACTAAATAGAAAAATTAAAACTAAAATTGCTAAAACTTAAATAATAATATCACATTATGGACTTGTGTTTCTTTCATTTTCTGTTCTCTTGTTTAGTTTTATTTCCATTGACCTAGTTCCTGTCTCTCCTTTGATTAGTTCATTCAGTTCACCTGTGTTCTGTTAATCGTTTCATTAGTTCCCTCGTTTAGGTTAGTATAAGAATTCCCCGTTCTGTTCCTTATGGGGTCTGGTATTTTTTGATGTTACCCTGTGTGTGAGAACTACTTATTTTTGTGGATTAGCTTTTAAAAGGATTTGTTTCTTTTATCTTCATCGTGCCTTCATCATCCTTGCAGCAGTAGGTGTGACAAATAATAATAATAAATACATTTTATTATTTATGAGAATTACGTTTATTAATTTAAACCAATATAAAAATAAAAGCTCTAAATGATAGTGATGGCGAAGTGAAGCGTTCTGAACCAGTGAAGCTTTCATCACAATTGTATCGGAAAAAGGTTCGTTACTCGAAGCTTTTTAAAACAGTTAATGCTGTGGTCATAAAAATAAATACAACTGATTATTTGGTTTATTATATTTTATATAAATAATGTTATTGTCAAAGTCATTCATTTGTGTCTGTGTACTGGCACTAAACTAAGTAAAATAAATAAAAAACAAATTCATAATTTAAATCTATGATCTGTTTATTTTAACTCTTGCCTCAGTCCTTAGACTGATATTTAATGGCCAAAGTTCATTTGAGCTCAATATATAAATTAAGTTTCAAAATAAAATAAAAAAAACAATGCTAACACATTATAATGTAAAAGAACCGGCGCTGAGGTTCGCTTCATTTGAACCAGATACTGAAGCAGTCACGTGGTTTTCAGACGAATGAAGCTTTGGACGTCATAGATCACGCGCTTTTCTCAAAACGAATCAAGCTCCGATACAATGCTTCAATGTGAAATGTTTTGATCTTCGAACAAGCTTCGAAGCTTCGGTGTTGAACGTAACATCACTACTAAATGACACTAAAATAACACTGGCCTAATGCCATCTTTAAAAATCACAAAGAGCATATTGTTCTTTAGTTTTTTATAACTATCAAACTGGTGCTTCACAAAACCCCAAAATCAAAACACTCCTCAGAAGAACCTGTAATGTAACATGAAGAACTTTTAAATCTGCAAAGAGCCATTTAGCAACACAAGAATCCGGTTCAGCCAAAACTGGTCTTGATAAGAACAGCATAAGGAGCCGCAAAGAACCAACAAAGTCTGAAGTTGTGATGTGTCCAGCTCAAATCTGTTATGTTGTGTCTGAACATCAAAAAGCATCACAGAGATTGGCTGTCGGCCCATGTTCTTCACTTCTCATTTAAATGTGTCGTTTCTCACCTTTCTGACTCTTTCACCATGTCCTCCTCTCCGTCATCAGTCCAACAACACCTCTCAAAGTCTGAAGTTGTGATGTGTCCAGCTCAAATCTGTTATGTTGTGTCTGAACATCAAAAAGCATCACAGAGATTGGCTGTCGGCCCATGTTCTTCACTTCTCATTTAAATGTCGTTTCTCACCTTTCTGACTCTTTCACCATGTCCTCCTCTCCGTCATCAGTCCAACAACACCTCGTGTATAGAAAAAGGCACTCATCTCTGCTGTGCTGTAGGGTGGTGAACTTAAATTTGCTGTCAAAATGTCATGATGGACATGAGTGTGTGAAAATGTGCAGTTCCCCATTCTTTTTTCATTCTCGTGGTGTGTGTTGTGCTTTGCTTTTAATTGACTCACTCTCATGCCATCTAAGACGTAGGTGACTTTTTTTTCTTCAGTAGAAAAGTAAAGAAGATTTTTTATCTTAAACCAAAGTCCTTGGTGATTCTTCTTGATATCTGAAAAAACTTACAGTAGACAAATCTCCATAAAACGGTTTTGAAAATTGTGAGTTCTCAAAGTTGCGATCTAGGACCTTTTATACAGTGTGGGCTGGGCGATATGACCAAAATCTTATTTAATGGTATTTCATGATAACGATATAGCTAGTTTTATTTTATATTTGTTATTAAAAATAAGAACAAAGAAGCAAATTACAAACACAATAAAACAAAAATATATATTGAATATACTTACGATTTTCAGATACAGTAGGTCTATTTAACAGGTAGTAAGAAAATTGAATAATCAAGTGTTTAACTAAAACACTGCATAGTCTTCACTGTATGAAAGTATTCTTATTAAAGATCTAAAAGTGATTCAGTCAAGAGCAGTGAGGGATTTTCTCTCTCTTTTGTTGTTTGATTAACATTAATGACAGACAGCAGCAGGTAAATTAGGCTGCTGTCGCTTTAAGACCGACTGCACGGATCCAATATACTGAAACACATCTGATTTTCACACAAATGTTTGTTTATTTAACACATAACCGACTGTGTACGTGAATGCTCCACACGACTGGCTTTTTGACATAATTGTGTGTGTATATGACCATTCAAGTGAAATAAGACGCGGAAGAGATCTGGGGCAGGTTGCATAAAAGGTTTAGACTGGTCTTAAAAGTTAATCATCTATTTTTTTCTTTAAGACTGGTCAACATTTTTTACATTCGGTTACATAAAAACTTAGATTCCTCTAAGTTGAATCCAAAAAAAATAAGACTGATTACCCCTTGGCTAACTGCTAGTTGGTCAGACTTGTTCTTGACACTGTCTTAACCAGTGTTGGGAAGGTTACTTTGGAAATGTAATAGGTTACAGATTACAAGTTACCCTACTTAAAATGCAATAAGTAGTGTAACTTTTCAATTACTTTATAAAAGTAATGTAGATGATTACATTTGATTACTTTTCTAATTTTTTCAACCGTTTATCATTTTCAAACATGTAAACCAGGCAGGGTAACCCTTACAGTAGTACTCAACACTGATTACTGTCACACTTTCAAAATCCTTCATCATTTGAATTAAGATTATATTTCAATTTTAAAGTAGACATTGGATGCAAAATTCACTTTTACATGGTGTTTACATATGTATCTTAGCAGTGTGTGGACACAAACACCCTACAATGAAAAAAATCTATTCACTCCTTTTTTTTTAATCCCCCAAAATCCTAAACCGTCTCAATTATTAAGCCGTTTTGATTTTCTGAGCAGTAGGAGGCCCCGCCCACAACCGCTGATGTACTGTCCAATATTAGCACGTTTTCGCCCTCAGCCAGTTGTACGAAGTACATAATTTTCTCCACGCTCCAGCAGCTGTAGCGACAATGTCTTGTAAGCAATGCAGGTGTTTTGTAGTTTTGTGATGTAGAAGAACATAAGAATCTTAATTTTCTCCCGACATCAGAGCCACTGAGGACGCAGTGCATTAGTTTTGTTTTTAATGGTAATGCGCCACTGAATACAACTAAATTAGTTTATCTGCGCAAATAATTGCTTAATTGCTCCAGACTGCTTTCTGAATGAGGGACAAATCAAGGCAGGCTTTGTTAAGAAGTTAAATCTCAAGGATAGATCAGTACCCCGTGTTCGTGATCCAGCTGCTCCTCCAGAAGAAGTCAGTCTGACACTTTATATATTTTTTATGATTATTTGCAAATCGCCTTTGCTCTTCCACAAAAGAAAGGGGCGGGTGAGCAGAGCTCATTAGCATTTACAACGTCGACGATGTGTGCCAGAAACTGCGCACCGAGTACGTGTCAACATGCATCAAGCCCTCCACCAAGTCGGGTTTGTGTAACCGATCGAGGTGCAACAAGGCCTTGCGGCGGTTCTTCGACCGCGTGCCTCCGGAGTACACCCACGAGCTGCTGTTCTGCCCTTGCAGCGACATGGCCTGTTCAGAGAGACGGCGACAGACCATCGTGCCCAGCTGCTCCTATGAGGGAGAAGATAAACCCAGCTGCCTTTCCCAGATGAGGATCTGTAAAGCAGACTATGTTTGCAGGTCAGTTTCAGAGACTCGGCCAGCCACGTACTACACTCTTAAAAATAAAGGTGCTTCACGATACCATAGAAGAACCTTTTTGTCTAAATGGTTCCATAAAGAACCTTTAACATCTGAAGAACCTTTCTGTTTCACAAAAGGTTCTTTGGGGCGAAAGAAGGTTCTTCAGATTATAAAAAGGTAAGAAAGAGGTGGTTCTTTAAAGAACCTTTGACTGAATGGTTCTTTGTGGAACCAAAAATGGTTCTTCTATGGCATCGCTTGAAGAACCTTTTGAAGCACCTTTATTTTTAAGAGTGGGCAGCGAGATTTAACAACTCACCTTGCATGCACTCTTTTCTCTGGGTAAAGAAAGCCTTGGCTTTTCTATAGCTGTCTGGAGAAAATAGAGTATGCACGCATTACTGCTGATAAGAAAAGAGCTTTTCTTCACATTCGTAATCCATGTCTGTATAAATGGGCATTGGACAGACAAATTAAACCTGTGAGACCCTGAGATGTTTGAGAAGTCAGACTGGTCCAGATTAAACCTCACAGATTGTGCATTAAATATTGAGCAGTGCAGGTTAGATGAGGTCAGTTTCAGACCTAACTTGATCATAACTAATATTCTGGATCCTCAGATAGTATATACAGCATTGCTGTTCAGTCTATCGCTATAATTAACCAAGAGAAAACCATCTGTTGATGATTAATTGGTATTAAAGATGGGAGCTAACTGCAACTGCTATGAAAAAAAAATATTTGCATGTAAGGTAGCATTCTTTACTTCCAGTGGGTGATTAACGGACTCGGGTGCCTTAGTGAATGACGTCAAGAAAAGCAGCATGCTATGATTATGATGATGACTATTGATCAAAGACGTTGTCAGGATGTTGGCATTTAAAACAGCATGGTCTATTCTGGTAGCGTCACAGACAATAGAGAAAGAAACATTGCTAACTGCTTAATGGATTATGATTTAACAATAAAAATATAAAGGGACTGCTTTTAAACTAAAAGTGAGTATAAATTCTTCCCTTATTGATAATATTAACTCTTTCCCCATTTATGAGACAATGCTTCGCCGCCATTGACGTAGTTTTCCTGCTCTCCGTGTTTCAGGGTTGCCAGGTCTACCAAAACCAGCCCAAATTGGTACTCAAAACTAGCCCAATCACAGCTAAAACTAGCCCAGTCACTTTCTGGAGGACTTGGCAACACTGCCGTGTTTTCACTGGTGTTTGGTAGTAGGCGCTATTACACATCTTCTGGAAAAGTATTGAATGTCTTGATCAAAACACGGCGAAGAAGAAGCAGAAACAAGTGATTAAGTAGATACATATATAAAATAACGCGATTATCAAACATTAAACAGCATATAAATCAAAACTTCCTAACATTAGTGAATGTATTAATGGAACCAATCTGCTCCCGCTGTGTTTTGATCATCGTTCTGAATCTGATCCGGATGTAGTCTTTGACAAAAACATGATTTTCTTAGATTTTTGTTCAAAATGTTCCTTTTTGTTTTGTTTTGTTTTTTTAAATGAAACTTGCCCACATTCAAGTTTTGATTAAAAAAAGAATGCATGATGCTAAACGTTTTTTTTCTTCATTTTTTTTAAATATAGGCGTTTTTTGACATTAATTTATTCACACAACAAAATATTCTGGGGGCAATGAAAGTTTTGTGACAATTACGAAAAATGCTGGTGGTAGCTGACAACCTTTTTTTTAAAGACACTGACAGGGAAAGAGTTAAAAGACATTTGGTTTACTTGTGTATGTGAAACATTTTTGTTCGTGTTGAGCTGCTATTTGATGTCCAATGTAATCTGAAATGTATCATGAAGCAAAACCAGTTGAGAAGCAGATTTAGACGTCGGTGATCGTACTTCATGATTATGTCAGTACTGCCGACACACTTATTAGGACGCTTCTGTTTGCTTGGCTGCTGTCCATGCATATACGGCTGTGTTTGTTCTGCAGGTCCCGTTTGGCCCAGTTTCAGTACGACTGCCAGCCTGAAGAGCAGTCTGCCACCGGCTGCAAACAGGGAAACTACGCCGCATGTCTTATTGCTTACACTGGACTGATAGGTGAGTGGTTTAAAGCTGCTTTAGACAATTGTTCTGCAAACTGGAAAAGGAATTGCATGCATGATTGTGGCTGGCCATTAAAACAGGAGCGAGGCTGATGTAATTGGTTTGGAGAGTGATACCTTGGTTATTCCCTTGCTCAAAGAAACACAGGGACACCTGTGTGTCTGTGATGAGAGACTATAAAACTACCCAGGCACTTTTAAAGTCATGGAGAGATTGATTTCACTTCCCAATAAAACAGATTGAAAGCAATATTTTTTTACGAGGCTTTCTGTTACATAGAGCCTTTTTGTTTGTTTAGTTCTGCTTCATGCTCATTTGCTATATATTGAGCAAACAGAATCCCTTTTAAATAAATCTCTTTTTTAAACAAAACTTTCTGGCAGGAAAGGAAATTAAATTTTCCAAATACAAATGTTTGGAATTAAGTTTTTTTCTTAAAAGCTGTCTCTTCTGCTTACCAAGGCCGCATTCATTTGATCAAAAATACAGAAAAAATAAATTATATATGTAATAGTTTTCTAAATGTATAATTATGAGTAAAAAGTAATTACAGCTACATATAGAGGGAGGATATTCATAGGTCATAAGTCAAGTCTGTAAAAGAGTCTTATGTATTTATACATTTGGATTAAAGGAATCCATATATCTGTTATGCAGTATTTCAGTGTAATTTTGTGTATTGATCTTCTTATGGGAAATGTCTACACACCTTGGTATCGCAGGCAGTCCAATCACCCCAAACTACGTGGACAACTCCACATCCAGCGTGTCTCCCTGGTGCTCGTGTTCAGCCAGCGGGAATCTGAGAGATCAGTGCACTGAGTTCCTGAACTATTTCACCGACAACCCCTGTCTCAGTGAGTCAAAGCTCCTGTACTGTACATCATCTGAGTCAGACGTCATAAATGCTGGGAAGGTTACTTTGGAAATGTAATAGGTTACAGAATTACATTTAAAATGATATGTGAAAGGACATTGCGTGTGTAGTCTGGCAGAAGGACTCTATGGTTATTGTTAGTCAACATTGTAATGTCAGAGCAGAATCGCACGCTCTGGTTTAAACCCTAATGAGATGCAACTGATTTATCATTAGAGATGCACCGATGTATCGGCCAATTGTTTAAAAACAACCGATGATCAAGGCCGATTATTTCCTGTCAAATGTTTCTTGTGCTGAATTTAGGGCTGTCATTAATTCAGCTCTGTTAACACGGGTTCTATTCAACCCTATGAACCAAGGGTGTAGAGTTTAGTAGGGATGTTGTGACTTGTCCCTACCAATATCCAGTGACTACTAAATTGTCCCTAGCAATAATTTTGATCAAACAATTATATTTATGCATATGTAACCACTGTTGTTGAAATTTAGCTTTCAAGGACGTACGTTTAATACATGTGCGGAGTAAGAACATATAAAATAGCAGAAGTGTTTAAAGCACAGTTCAGCTGAATAATAAAGTTTACCCTCTTTAACTTTGTTGTTGAACTGAATGTACAAAGCAAACCATTTGCTGAAATATCCACAAATTTAAAAAAAACAACAACACTGAAATGTTGGGTTTATCTGTCAATCAGATGCAGGTGAAGTTGTGTTCGTTACTATAGCAACAGTAGGGTCACGGGTGAGTTCACGGGTGGTCCAATTCATTTTTAATATTAAAATAAAATGACGTACAGCGTAATTAAGACACCCAGCGCTCTGATGCTGCTGTAATGTTGTTGGTTTTACATAATCAAAATGGTGTATTATTATCTGATATATATGCTAACATAAAAAGCCCTCTTTATGGATTATTAATATGTTGGCTACCATAGCTATAAATAAAGACTTTAGATGACATGAAACTATGGTCAAACGTCTGTGATAAATGCGAAAATGTTGAGGTAGTTGGTGGATGGTTTTGGGGGTGTTGTCTGCTGTTATTTCCCAACCAATGTTAAAATCAAACCTACGCCCTTGCTATGAACCACCTGTAGTTCAAACCAGGGTTGCCAGATCCACGTTTTTCCCTCCACCAAACATTATTTGTAGCACCCCTTCCATCTTATAATCTCTGAAAACGTTGTGCCTTTTTACATCTGACAAGAAACAAAGTCTCAGCTTTCAAGTCCTTTACATTTTATCACAAAATTCAAACAAAAAATGCTCTTAAATTTGGCGCGACAGATGGCTGTAGCAGCTTCAGTCTTTTCTACTTTAAATACAAGTTATTGTATGAAAAAAACCATGAATGAACATCAGAAGGTGGTGAAATATACAACTTGCCGAAATGTATCATGTCTCAAATAAGCACTCAATCAGCATTTTAACCAAAAGAAAGACATCAAATAAAACACCTTGTGAACAAATATGCCACTTAAAGTTGCATTAACCTCCGGAAAGTTATCCAGTGTTCACAGTTCATTAGTTAGTTATAAAAAACACTAGAGGGGCTTTATTTACTGATAATTATATATGCATGTTTGAACAAACCCGTCCAGTTTTTATGAAAACTAACTTATGTGCAATTGAGTTGTATACAAATGTTTATTTTTTTTATTTGAGTGTGATTATTATATCTGAAAATAAATAGCATTGAATATAATAGATTTGTTGCTCATTTTAACTTCTAATATTATGTACCAAATGAGAAGATTCCCTGTTTAGTTTAAAGCATTAGTTGGGAGAGATTTATTTTCCTTAATGAAGCTAAACTACCGATATCAGCAGATGTCATTCTGAATAATCGGCTATCGCTATCGGCGGAGACATTTTGTATTGGTGCATCTCCATTTATCATAGTCAAAAGTTTCTAAAACTTTAAATTCAGAAATTAATCTTAAACACTGTATGCATTCAAACATCACATGCAGATTTGCA